GAACGTCCCGAAAACCAGAGCCCCTCCTGAGCCCGCAGTAGTCCTTCTTTCAGAGTCTTGGTTGTGGGCTGTGGACCTACCATGGTCACGCGCCCCGTGGAAAACGCTGAAAGCCTTCTCCGGACTGGCCACTCAGGTACCAAGCAAGCCACGGAGAAAACACGCCATCTGCATCGCGCCTCGTGTCGCTTCCGAGACCAACAGTCAGCACGCCTCCGTGAGGAGCACCGAGTAAGAAAAAGCTGCATTTCTGGCTACTGCGAGCTTCGGCCATGAATAGGTCCTCCGGCCTGGATCTGAGGAACGGCCCGCAAACTGGAGCCCCTCCTAAGCCCGAAGTGGTCCCTATTTCGATGTAGTCGCTGCATGACGCGATCACCCACGCATAGCCAAAAACGTCTCACTACGCTCGCCAGCCATCACTCGATCGCCTTGCCAACCGTGCTAGTCCAGCCGTGCTTTTCAAACATCATCTAAACAGCCTGCCAAGAAGCCCTGAGATCGTATGCATCTAACCGACGCACTGGGAAAACAATGACAAACATTGTCCTACGAACTGTGATGTGGAACCGGAGTACCACCGCTTCGAAAACCAACCCTTCTAACTCACAAGTAATACTGGTGCCATACGTCAAAGCGCATAAATGTAGGACTGCGCATACGGTGCGTACTAACATATCAATGCAAGCCGTGAGCGCTCGACAGTTCTTGACTATGACTCGGCGTGCAAGAAGGGGTGGCCCTGCCGACGAGACTCCACAGCGAAGTTTCGGTCCTGCTTGTGCGCGCAGCTCACCATCAAGCTCTACGCCAATTACATTGCGGCATTTGAGCAACCACGCCTACAGTCGGTGCCAACTGCCCACTACAAGCCAACTGTTGCTCCTTCCATGTGCCTACACATCCCATGTACCATTTACAATTTACCACGAAGTGTGCCAGACGCTCCTAACACGTCAGAAGTGCCATGCAGCAGGTCAGAGGAAATATCCTCAACTGGGTTTGTACTTGAAGACCCAGGCACGGTGGCGGCATGGGCCGAAGGCCACGGGACCCACCGCCCCCTGTGGCTTGCCACACGGGGGCACGGCGTGCCAAATGTTAGCTTGTGTTGGTCCTCTACAAATTCCCAGTGGGGTCTCGACCGAACCTGCCAACCACCCGTGAAAAATGGTTGTCCATTGGCCTCTTCAACCCCCAAGATGGTCGCAAGATGGCCTTCTAGACAGCTAAGATGGCCTCCAAGACGTTCACGATGACCCGAAGAGAGCCCAAGATGGCCGCAGGATTTCTCCAGGATGGCCCAAGATGCACCCAAGACAGCCCGAGATGGGCTCAAGATGGCCCAAGATGGCGCAAGAGGCCGCAAAGAGGCCTCCAAGACGGCCCAAGAGGCTTCCGAGAGGTTCTCCAGGAAGGCCCGAGGAAGCCAAAGTCATAGATTGTAGTTTGCTTGTTTAAGGATTTGGGCATTTGCTTATTTTCAGCCCCAAGACGGCCCAAGACGGCCCAAGAGGCCCTTTACATTACGCCAACCACGAAGCATCCAGGAGCAGTCTGATGGCCCAAGAGACAACAAAGACAGCCCCAAGAGAGCACCAAGACGGCCCAGGAGACCTCCAAGACGCCAAAGATGGCCTCCAAGACAGCCCTGAAGCGCCCAAAGGGGGCCCCAAGTCGGACCAGAGAGGCCCCTAAGACGGCTTCCGTCGACGTCAGGCGGGCCAGGAACTCAACTAGACGACCAAAGAGCCTCCCACGGAGCCTCCAAAGGCCCCCCAGAGGCCAAAGGAAGCCCCCAAGAGGCCTCCAACAGGCCCCAAGGAAGCTCCCCGGATGCCCCAAGAGAGCCCCAAGAGTGCCCCAAGAGGCCCCCTCCTCCTCCTCCTCCTCCTCCTCCTCCTCCTCCTCCTCCTCCTCCTCCTCCTCCTCCTCCTCCTCCTCCTCCTCCTCCCCATGCCTCTCCTTGACCGTCGTGCCCACAGAGTGCCGCTCTCCCCCCGCAGGCAAGGGCACAGAGTGCCGCTCTCCCCCCGCAGGCAAGGGCTTGACCTTTCCGTCGTAAATGGCCGATCCGACTATGCTACTCTTGTTGCTGATCCTCTTCCTCCCCCTCCAGCTGCTCCTCCTCCCGCGTTCACCTTGCTCCCCCCCATCGCCAACATCAGCATCATCATCAGCAACATCAGCATCGCCAGCGTCATCATCCTTCTCCCAGAATCAGAATCACCATCATCACCACCACCACCACCATCATCATCATCATAAGCAGCAGCAGCATCGTAATCATCATCATCATCATCATCATCATCATCATCATCATCATCATCATCATCATCATCATCATCATCATCATCATCATCATCATCATGATGATCAACATCATCGACGTAATCATCATCATCATCGTCATCAGCAGCAGCATCATCATTATCATCATCACACTCATATTCATCATCATAATCATAATCATCATAACCATCATCGTCACCTTCATCGTCATCGTCATCATCAGCATCATTATTAGCATCACCATCATAATCATCAGCATCATCATCGTCATCGTCGTCATCATCAGCAACAGCAGCATCAGCATCGGCATCATCATCAGCATCATCATAATCGTAATCGTCGTCGTCGTCGTCCTCAGCATCAGCACCATCATCATCATCATCATCATCAGCATCATCATCATAATCATAATCATAATCAGCATCAGCATCATCATGGGCAAGTAAGCATCATCATCTGCAGCAGCATCATCAGAATCACCATCGTCATCGTCATTGTTGTCAACATCAGCATAATCATCATCAGCGGCAGCATCGTCGTCGTCCGCCCTCCTCCCCCTCCTCGTCCTCGTCATCATCAGAATCGTCATCAACAGCATCATCACCACCACCAACATCATTATCATCGTCAGCATGATCACCATCATCATCATCATCATCAATCAATCAATCAATCAATCAATCAATGACATCATCCATCTATCCTCCTGTCCCATTCATCCCTCCCTCCCTGCCCCCATCCATCCCTCCCCGTGCTGCCTCCCTCCATTCATCCTGATGGTTCGTGCGCCTCGTCACCGATCCCTTCGCGCGTTGCACGCACGCGTAGAATCCTGGAGGTCCGCCACCGTTCCCTCTGGCACGTTGAGGCGTGGTAGAATGCCAAGGGCTGCCCGGTAGAGCTGATGCAAAAATGCTAACGACCCCCCCCTGTTATAACACTCAGGCGCGTGCACCGGCCCCCCTTCCGAGGATTTATAGGCAACCCGACGCCTCCCTGGTCCTCTCCAAGGCGCCTCCAGGCTTGCAAAACGACCACGGAAGGCCACCAAGGCCACCAGGATGGCCGAAGATTGCCTCAAGAGACACACAACATCCTTTGAAACGTCCAAACGTACCTCCAGGAAACCCTCGACAAGCCCAAAACATTGAATCCCATTTTTCCATTTGATTCCATTTCATCTTACTCCCAACCCTCCTGGGCTGAATTGCGTCCCGCTTTGAATCCGCAGCATCGCGCTCCACCTCCTCGCCTCTTCCCCCTCCTCTCTTTCCTCTGCTCTCCGCATCCCCCTCCCCTCCTTACCTCTGCTTTCCGCATGGCGGCGCCGTCCCCACGTCGGCACACCCCTCACACCTTCTGTGGCCCGAAGGGTGCTCCACCTAATGGCCCAGTGGGCGCGACCGCATGGCGGCGCCGCCCACAGATCGACACACTCTGCACAAGTTTCGCGCCCCTGAAAGAGTTCCGCCTACAGGCCCACTGGGCGCGACCGCATGGCGGCGCCGTGCTCTTGTCGTCACAACGGTTACGCGTCTCATGCTCTCCAGGGAGGTCCACCCACGGTCTCCATAAACGCGACCGCGTGGCGGCACCGCCCTCATTCCGGCACACCCGTCACGCGGTTCGCGCCTCTCAGGAGCTCCAGCGACGGCATTACTCGGCGCGACCGCATGGCACAACCGCGCGCACTCTGGCACACCGCTGGCACGTTCCGCGCCCAGCATGGTGGCCCAGCGCAGGCATCCGCGGACGCGACAGCATGGCACCCCCGCGCCCGCTTCGGCACACCTTCACGCATGCTTCGTCGCGCCCTGGCGGGAGCCCCACGCACGGTCTCAGCGGGCGCGACCGCATGGCAACGCCGCGCCCAAACTGGCACGCCCCTCAGACGTTCCGCCCCCCTTAAGGGGGCCCCAACTACGGTCTCAGCGTGCGTGAGCGCAAGGCGCATGGCGCCGCCGCGCCGCACTGTCCCGCGGCGCGCAGTGTATGAAGTCAGGGCCACGTCCTGTGCTACACGCAGATGACCTCCGCCAGCAAAATGTGTCACAACCCTCCTGCGTAAGTTGGGCCCTCGATTTGAATCCGCAGCGCTCGCGTCTCCTCCTTCTCCTCCTCCCCCTCCTCCATGTCGGTTCTGGTACACCCATCACGCGCTTCGTAGCCCAATAGTGAGCTCCACCGAAGGCCCAAGCGGGCGGACGCATGGTGGCACCGCCCCAGTTCGGCACATTCCTCACACGCGTCGTGGCGGCACCGCCCCGCTCGGCACAACCCTCACACGTGTCGTAGCCTCATCAAATGGACGGAAACCCAACGCAAGTTTCTGAGAGTTGCCACATGGGGCGCATTGTGAAGCTCGAGGCAAGTTTCTCTCGGCCTATCAGCTGAAGCCGTTGCCCGCCCGCCTTCCAAGTCGTTCCGCGTGCTTGCGCGGGCTGCGCGCGCGCGTCACGTTGGATCTCACGCGCGCAACGTCGGCGCACGCGCAGCGCCCACACAGGCCCACTGCGCTGCGACAAAATCGCCCCGCGCTGCCCGACCGTTGCACGTCGACGCCAGCCCCACAGCAACTGCCCGGAGCCGTGCACACCACACAGGCGGCGCTGCAAATCACAGCGTGGGAAGGGCCCAGCGTGCCCCCAGGACGACGCGCTCAGAGTGAGGCGTCGCAGCGGCCACGGGCCGCACGCCACTGCACTTCTTTTTCGTCGCACTATCAGTATCGCTCTGAGCGGTCCGTCGCAGGCCCTGCCATGAAAATCATGAGAGCTCCTCTCAGCGCTGCCAGATAGAGCTTGACTTGCACGCTTGGCATAGCGGCCACGTGAATTCACGGCGGTGAAAGAGTTGACCCACGAACAGCGAGTAGGCCAGGGTGAAAAGCAGCGAATCGGGCAGAGATGGTGAGGCAGGCGGTAGAACCTATGAACTGGGAACGAATCATGTGTGACTATGTGTCTGAACGTCGAGCCCGCATAAGTGAACCTTGGCGTAAGAACCTCGGTCGGGACACAAAACATAATCCGATATTACTCGTTCCTGACACAAAAAATAACGATCTCTGGTGGCTCCTCAGGCCCATGGCTCTCTCACTCGTTGGTTCCCCTTTCCCTGCCACCACCACCAATTCGTCAGGAGGTACTCTGAAGACAGACCTTCGCACCGCCCCACACACACACACACACACACACACACAGACACACACACACATCCCCTGGAGAAGCTCCGACATGTTCGAATGCTGCAAATTGCACACCGTCGTGAGCTGACACGATCAACAGCATTGTTTCGCCCTGTCACGTGACATCGAACCAGCCGCGCCAAAGCGGCGTCGCCCCTGCCCGTGGACAGCTGATACTCATGATGGACGGCAGCGAGGCGTAGAGGAGGGCAGAGGGGGTAACAAAGAAAAATGTACGTTGATAGGTGAGCGAGGCATGAGATACAGAGCGCAAGGTGCATACACCACGCTGACAATAAGATACATGCACGCCTAAGCACACAGCAAATCTCAGCATCGGAGATGCTTTGCGCGAGAGCAGGCTTCTCTTATACGGTGCGGAAGCACATGTCTAAGCCTCTTCAAACATTTCAGAGTCCTGCGATTCCTTCCCCCGTTCCCACGTAAAGAAACAGGCCAAGACTAGGCAAGCTGAGTGGCGGGGCCATGAGTTCGCCCCTTTCACATCGCTGACCAAGATATTTCCAGCATCTGCGCTGGGGACTCCGAGGTATCTGGAAAATCCTGGGTATCTGCCCTCTGTCGTGAAGACGATGCCCACGATACCTCCAAGCTTCTGCCCTCCGAAAAGGATACTGCTGATGCTTCCATCGTTCCGACACCCCCTAAGCCCCTGACTCACACGGGGCCGAGTCCGCGGTTGTCGGCTTTAAATTGCGTGCTCGTCATCGGCTTCATCGTCGTCAGGATCTGGGTCGTTCAAGATACGCAGCCGAAAAACGCCTCTACGCATGACGGAACATTGTCTTTCTGAAAGCGACAAACCAAACCCATGACGTGCGCGTGGATATTGTGGCAATGATTATTCTGGCCCGGTGCTTACAATCGAAAACAAAAAGACAAAGCCAGTGACAAGTGGATCTGTGTTAAGTTAGATGAGTATCCAATCCGCCGCCACAGAAGTTCTCAATCGCACGTCCAAAAGCCAGATATCCGCCGAACACAAGACGGTGAAACGCACATCCGGGTCCGAAGGGAGGAGTGCGAGACACCTTCTCCCGCATTAAATTCTGGGGGTCAGCCTACGGAGGTGGCAAAGTGGCATGCTAAACTGTTTCCCCCATGACACCTTCCATCCTGTCTCATTCACACGTTGCTACTGGAGCCGGGTGAAACGATGCGAACTGCGGAACCAACACCATGGCGCGAGAATCCACAGACAATCAGACGAAAGACCACATTCAAAATCATACTCAAAGGAAAAACAAACCAGGCAGCAATTCCAGACACCCGACGTCTCGATTGCCTCCTGACCCCCAGGCCCCTTCCCAAAGACCCGCTTTCTGTCCCAAACTGTGTTTGCTGGTCCTCGACCCGGGGCCCAACAACGGCACCTAGGCCGGAATTCGGGAACAGCGCCGGCATCAAAAATATTCCCAGACATGCGACGTCCTGATTTTCTCAAGACGGCGTCCCGGAGGTCCCGACCCTTTCCCCGGGGCCGGTTTTTCATCCTGAGTCGTTTTCTGACGGTCCCGAGGCCCGAGGCCGAACGTGGGCAAAACCCTCCCGTCCTGATTTTTGTTACGACGCGATCATGTCTGGCTTGTGAAGTCGGGTGTCTGGGCTCAGAACTCGCGCGCGCTCCGGAGGCGGAGGTGGAGAAGGAGGAGGAGGAGGAGGCGGAGGAGGCCGAGGAGACGGAGGAGGAGGAGGCGGAGGAGGCGGAAGAGAAGGGAGGAGGAGGAGGAGGAGGAGGAGGAGGACGACGACGACGACTCGCGCGCGCACCAAACAATCAGAAATGCGTGAGGGATGCTGCCAGCCGGTCCCGCGCCATGCGCTCCCGCCCCTGGCGGCATGGCCGGGGGGAGCTTCGCGGGAGTCGGCGTTCTGACGCTGGCGGGCACGACAGCCCGTGGCCGTGCACAGGGCTGGACCTAGACGTTGTTTTTCGGTTTGTTTCTTCTTTGTTTTTCGTTTTGCGCTACCTGCTTTCCTAAACCTCCCTGCCATAACGAAAAACGGAACGCGGCCGAAGTCCAGCAAAACCACGTCCAGGTCCAGCCCAGGCCGTGGGCCGTGCCCTCTGGCGTCGTGATTCCTAGAAGAAGAAGAAGAAGAAGAAGAAGAAGAAGAAGAAGAAGAAGAAAAAGAAGAAGAAGAAGAAGAAGAAAACGCCATAAGCATCAAGTGTTTCCGCTCCGCGCGGACTTCTCGGATCTGCGCTGGGCCTCCCTCCCTGGCGCGCGGAGCGCGCCAGGGGCGGCGCAGGAGGCGCCGCCGGGGTGGCGGGGGGGGCCCAGCGCGGATCCGAGAAATCCGCGCGGAACGCCAATTTTCTACGTTTATGGCGTCTTCTCTTCTTCGAAATGTTCCCAAAAGCCATCCTGCGGTGTCGGGCCCTCGTTCTGACTCGGCAGCGCCGCGCGTCTCACCTCCATTGTCGCCCTCACTCCTCACCCGATTCCCCCTCCGCATGTCAAGTTCGCAACATCCCTCACGCGTTTTGTAGCCCCATCCGAAGGCCCCCGTGGGCACGGGCGCCCGTCGGCACCGCCGCGCTTCAGCACGCTCCTCTCAAGCTGCGTGGCCCAGTGGGGAGCACCACGTGGGGACCCAACGAGAGAGGGCGCACCCTTCACGCGCGACGCGGCCCCAGTGGGAGCTCCACAGGGGCCCCCCTGGGCGCGGGCGCACGGCGGCACCGCCTCTCATCTCGGCACACCCCTCACATGTGTTTCGTTGCCCCATAGGGCGCTCCACCGGAGGCCCCAATGGGAAGGAGCCGCGCTTTGCGATTCTCGCAGCTGGATCTGGTTGGGCAATTCATCAAATCTGGCATCAAAAGCCAGTTTTGGACCATGGGACCATCAAAAACGATCCAGAATCAAAAGCCCGTCCACGATAAGGGGTCGACAGGTCCAAGGGCCACGTAAACAGAAAGCACGACGTCGGAGGTCTTGTGAATGAAGCACCAAGCATCTGCGCTCTGCCCACGGTCTGACCCCGTGAAATCGATCGGTACAACAATGTCTGCTGTGAGTATCGTAAGAGGCTCGACTCCGTGATCCGAGGTGGAGCTCCGTAAGGGGCCACGACGCGTGTGAGGGGGGGGTCTCGCATGTGGACCCTGCCACTGGGGCCCTCGGTGGAGCTCCCAATGGGGCCACGAAACGTGTGTGGGGTATGCCGACATGGGGCGGGCGGACGCATGTGGACCCTGCCACTGGGGACTTCAGTGAAGCTTCCTATGGATGCACGAAACGTGTGAGGGGTGTGCCGACATGGGGGGGGGACGCACGTGGACCCTGCCACTGGGGCCTGCGGGGGAACGCACGTGGACCCTGCCACTGAAGCTTTCGGTGGAGCTTCCCATGTAGGGGGGGGGCACAAACGTGTAAGGATGTGCTGACATGGGGCGGGCGGACGCATGTGGACCCTGCCACTGGGGACTTCGGTGAAGCTTCCTATGGATGCACGAAACGTGTGAGGGGTGTGCAGAAATGGGGCGGGGGAACGCACGTTGACCCTGCCACTGGAGCCTTTGGTGGAGCTCCCCATATGAGGGGGGGCACGAGACGTGTGAGGATGTGCCGAATGGGGCGGGGGGACGCATGTGGACCCTGCCACTGGGGCCTTCGGTGGAGCTCCCTATGGAGGCACGAAAAGTGTGAGGACTGTGCCGACATAGGGCGGGCGGACGCATGTGGACCCTGCCACTGGGGCCTTCGGAGGAGCTCCCCATGGGGCCACGAAACGTTTGAGCGGCGTGCCGAAATGGCGCGGAGGGACGCATGTGGACCCTGCTGCTGGGGCCTTACGTAGAGCTCCCCATGGGGCCGGGAAGCGTTTCAGGGGTGGGCAGCACTAGTGCGGGGGACGCATGTGAGCCCTGCCACTGCGGCCTTCGGAGGAGCCTCCTATCGGGCCACGAAACGTGTGAGGGGTGCGCCGAAATTTTGCGGGGGGGCGCATGTGGAGCCTGCCACTGTGGTCTTCGGTGGAGCTCCCTATGGGGCCACGGAACGTGTGAAGAGGTGTGCCGAAATGGATGTGCGGCGGAGGGCAGAGGCAGGGAAGGATGCAGGGATGGGATGAAGGAGGGAGGGCAGCGGGAGGAAGGGGGAACGCGGGGCGCTGTCTCTGCAAAACGAAGAACCATAACCAAATGGTGATTAAACCATTGGGAAACCACTGGGAGATCGGGGAGCCCTCGCCAACCCCCGAAGAACTGGGAGATCCGGGCCCCCCCACGGAACGGGGAGGTCCGGAATGTCTGGAGCCCCCCCTCCGAACCGGTCGTTGTCCCTGCGCAGGGAAGGGAGGGGGTAAATAACTCCCCCCCGCCAACAAACCACGCTGCCGACGACAACGCCGCCGACGACAACGAGGCAAACGACGACGCCGCCGCCGACGACGACGACGATTACGTACAACGACGAAGGCCGCCGGCAAACCATCATCCTCATCCTAATCATCCTAATCATCCTCATCATCCTCATCCCCATCCCCATCCTTCATTCCGTTTTCTTATAAATGACTTCTCCCTGTCGCACCCCGAGGCTAGTTTTTAAGGCGGTCCTGGCGTTTCACCTGAGACTTCTTCACCATTTATGACCTTGAAGCTTAAAGATTGGCAACAGCTTCACAGATGGAGGCAGGCCTTTTTCAAAATGTGGTTATCGCCTTTGCGCCGCGCACATTTGCTGCAAAAAATTGCAAGACCTTCACGGGTTGAGGGCGGGTGGTTTTCAAAATGTGGCTCTCACCTAGCGCCGTGCACAGTAGTTGTAAAAAATGCTAGAGCTTCCCGGATTGAGGGGGGGTTCTTTTTCAAAATGTGGCTCTCGCCTTAGCGCCGCGCACATTCGCTTCTACGTGTTGCAAGAACTTCACGGATTGAGGGCGGCTCCTTTTCAAAATGTGGTTTTCGCACTAGCTCCGCGAACATTTCTTTCTCTACATATATATACACGAGCTTCACGGATTCCCATGATCAACGTACCAGAAATCGCGTTCTGCAAGGATTCAGGATGAGGGCCCAACAGTTACGTTGATTCGAGGTGTTGAAGTCCCAAGAATGATGGCGTTCTGGCACGATTTAAGATCGCCAAGACGCAACAATCAGGTTGATCCGTGGCGTTGGAATCCCGAGAACAATGTTTTGGCATGCTGCAGGGTCTTCAAGCGGTTGTCTTCCAACGAGGCAGTTCCATCAGTGGAAGTAAACCGTTGCAGGGGGGGGCATATGAAGACGGAGCTTGGAGGGAGTTCACTCCAACATCGATGATGACTCTTGAGTTGACACTGGTCATCATCCTAATCGTCATCTTCGTCCTCATCCTCATCCCCATCATCATCATCCTCATCATCATCCTTATCATCATCCTCATCAGCATCATCATTCTCATCATAATCCGAAGCAGCAGTAACAGCAGCATCATCATCATTATCAGCATCCTCATCCCCATCCTCATCGTCATCAGCATCAGCGCCAGCGCCAGCGCCAACGCCATCATCATCTTCAAACATCACCAAAATCGTCTCCATCATCGTCGTCATCCGCAGACGCATCCTCCTCGTTATCATCACTGCCTGAAAGCCCACCCTTCGGGTGATTAGGAGCCTCGGGGAGAGAGGGACCTACGTCTCACTCAGTCTATCTCGCTCTCGATCGTACTATCGATCTCACTATCGATCTCACTATCTATATCACTATCGATCTCACTATCGGTCTCACTATCGATCTCACAATCGATCTCATTATCAATATCACTATCGATCTCACTATCGATCTCACTATCGATCCCACGATCGATCTCACTATCGGTCTCACTATCGAACTTACTATCGATCTCACAATCGATCTCACTCAATCGATCCCACCGTCCAAGTTACCATCAATATCACAGTCGATCTCACTATAGATCTCAAAATCGATTTTACTGTCCCTCTCACTATCGACCTCACTTCGATCTCAGTATCGATCCCACTATCGATCTTACTATCGTTCTTACGATCGATCTCACTATCGATTTCACTATCGTTCTTACAATCGATGTCACAATCAATCTCATGATCGATCTCACTATCGGTCTCACTATCGGTCTCACTAGTTATCGATCCCATTATCGATGTCGCATTCGATCTCATATCGATCTCACTACGGGACACCAACGGGAAAACCGACGGGACACAGACGGGACACAGACGGGACACCGACGGGACACCGACGGAACACCGACGGGACACCAGCGGGACACCCGCGGGATACCCCCGGCCACCGCTGGACAACCCAGGGAGCGAGATCTTTTGGCCTAGCGGCGCCCTGGCCAGAGGAGGGCTCATTCCTCTCGCCCGCCCACGCAGCTTCGCCTCGCCCGCACGCACGATACGAACACGAAAACAGAATCGAAACCAATTCCCCGGTGGGGGGGCCCCCGTTTCACTACGATCTCACACCCTCACCTCCGATCATCATCACCAACATCGGCATCCTCATTATCATCCTACTTGCCCTCATAATCCTCATCCTCATCATCATAGTCCTTATCATCATCGTCATCCTCATCATCGTCCTCATCCTCGCCCTCAGCATTATCCTCATCATCAGCAGCAGCATCATCATCAGCAGCATCAGCATCATCAGCATCATCAGCATCAGCATCAGCATCATCATCAGCACCATCAGCATCATCATCATCATCATCATCATCAGCATCACCATCATCATCATCATCATCATCATCATCATCATCATCATCATCATCAGCATCAGCATCAGCATCATCAACATCAGCAGCACCATCATAATCAGCATCATCAGCAGCAATATCATCACCATCATCA